TGGCGGCCGGCTCTCAGGGACGGAGTGCTCTCGGTGGGGCGCGTCAGGGTGGGGGACTCTCAGTGGGGCTGGGGGCTCTGGGGGTCGGCTCTCGGGGGCGCGTCGGGGCGGGGGGCTCTCGGTGGGGCTGGGGGGCTCTGGGGGTCGGCTCTCGGGGGCAGGGCTGCGTCGGGGCGGGGCGCTCTCGGTGGGGCTGGGGGCCAGTTCTTGGGGTCCGGGGCACTCTCGGTGGGGCTGGGGGGCTCTCAGGGGCATGCCCTGAGCACAGGCCCCACTCCCTCCCCCCAGGTGATCGCCCCGGAGGAGATTGTGGACCCCGACGTGGACGAACACTCCGTCATGACCTACCTGTCCCAGTTCCCCAAAGCCAAGCTGAAGCCCGGGGCCCCCCTGCGCTCCAAGCAGCTGAACCCCAAGAAGGCCATCGCCTATGGCCCCGGTAGGGCCCCACCCCCACCCGCTGCAGGGACCAGCCTGGGGGGGACCTGGGGCAGCGGTCTCTCCCTCCACACCCTGCCCCACGTGGGAGGGGCTCCTGGGAGCCAGGGCTGCAGGGAGGGGGAGCAGGCCCAGCGGGAGGGGAGGGGACAGGAACAGGGGAGGGGAAGGGGCAGGAATGGGGGACACGGGGGGAGGGGGTAGAAGCACTCAGGGCAGGGCTATGGGGGGGAGCCCCAGCTGGTGCCCCCCCTGAGTCCCCTGTCCCGGTGCCGCAGGGATCGAGCCCCAGGGGAACACGGTGCTGAAGCCGGCCCAGTTCACGGTGGAGACCCTGGAGGCGGGGCTGGGCGAGGTGCTGGTCTACATCGAGGACCCCGAGGGACACACCGAGGAGGTAGGGGCTCCTGGGGGTCGGCCTGCTGCTCCCGTACCCCCTGCCCAGGGATACCCCTGCCCTCTGGTGGGGCCAGGGCACAGAGAGCAGGAGCTCTGAGCAGCAGGGTCTAGTGGATAGAGCAGGGGGCTGGGAGCCAGGACTCCTGGGTTCTATCCCCGGCTCTGGGAGGGGAGTGGGGCCTTGTGGGTAGAGCAGGGGGCTGGGAGCCAGGACTCCTGGGTTCTATCCCCGGCTCTGACCCTGATTCCCTGTATGACTCTCAACGATGCCCTGTACCTCGCTGCTTCCATCTCCTCATCTCTCTGGTGGGCGCCATGTGAGTGCATTGCCCTGGGGTGGAGCTGGGCATGGCCGGGGCCCCCCCAGTGGGTGGGGTGCTGGGGTACAGTCCCCAGGTGCCCTTGCAGCCCCCGGCGCAGCCTCTGCCCCAGCCTCACCTCTGGGGCCTTCCTCCGCAGGCCAAGGTGGTCGCCAACAACGACAAGAAGCGGACGTACTCGGTGACCTATGTGCCCAAGGTGGCCGGGCTGCACAAGGTGAGCTGCCCGCCCGGCCAGAGCCCCCTGGGGGTGCTGGGGGAGGATGGAGGGCTGGTACCGCTGGCTGGGCCCAGTTGGCCCCTCTGCTCAGGGCCACACAGCTGCTGTGTGAGGGTTGGGGGGCTCCCCATGTTCCGGGGGGTGTAACGATGCTGCCTCTGGCGAGACACCACTGAGAGTATCAATTCAGGACAAATTGCCCAGAGCAGGGCAGTTACAGCCCCAGGCTGGGGGTCCTTTGCACACCAAACCAGCCAAACATCAAGGACTTCGGTCTCACCCCACTGGCTAACCACAATTCACACAAACAATTCCCTCAGACACTGCAGTTTCCCAGGATCACCACCGGCACCGCTCCTTATGGGGACGAATGGTTACGAAAACCAATATCCCAGTAAAAGAAAAAAGGTTCTCCTGATCCCAAAGGACCAAGGCCCTGACTCAGGTCAATATACAGGTCAGATCTTACCCACAAATCACGCTGTTGCCAATCCTTTAGAATCTAAAATCTAAAGGTTTATTCATAAAAGGAAAAAGATAGAGATGAGAGCTAGAATCGGTTAAATGGAATTAATTCCATCCAATAATGGCAAAGTTCTTGGTTCAGGCTTGCAGCAGCGATGGAATAAACTGCAGGTTCAAATCAAGTCTCTGGAACATCCCCAGCTGCGATGGGTCATTCAGTCCTTTGTTCAGAGCTTCAGTTTGTAGCACAGTTCCTCCAGAGGCAAGAAGCAGGATTGAAGACCAAAGGAGATGAGGCATCAGCCTTTTATAGTCTCTTCCAGGTGGAAGGACCCCGCTTTTCCTTCCTGTAGAATTCACAGCAGCAAGATGGAGCTTGGAGTCACATGGGCAAGTCACATGTCCATGCATGACTCAGTTCTTTACAGGCGTCGCCATTGTTGACATGTTCATAGAATATCAGGGTGGGAAGGGACCTCAGGAGGTATCTAGTCCAACCCCCTGCTCACCAGGACCAATCCCCAACTAAATCATCCCAGCCAGGGCTTTGTCAAGCCTGACCTTAGTTTGAACGTTCCCAGGAAATCTCCGATGTGGATTGGCGTCTCCCAAGGGCCATTGTCAGTTAAGTGTTTCTTGATAGGGCACTTAACTTGCAAATTCCTTTCTCAAGGAGCTGACCAAATGCTTAGAGAATTTTTTCACTTGACCAGAGCTCGGAGCTGCTTAGAATCAAATGGCATTGAGATACAAGTACCTAGCCAATTCAACCACAAAAACGATACACACATACAGACCGCGTAATCATAGCCAGCAAATCATAACCTTTCCATAGACACCTCACACGACAACCTTTGTACAATATTTGCTGCAGATATATAACAGTGGTTGCAACAATGATCGACACGGTCACAGGTTATGTCAATAATGTCACAGGGGACTGTTCGGTTGCTTGATGGGGGGTTCTCCTGCCCTCGTTGCTGTGTCCCCCCCTCCACCCCCAGAGGTGGCTGCATTCAGAAGTGCTCTGGCAGGATCACAGGCCCTATGCAAACAGCAGCCCAGCCCCGTCCTGGTCAGGGGGCTGTGCCCCCGCCCCAGTGCCCCCCAGGCCACGGCTGGCCCTCGCCCGCTCCCCAGGGCCCGGGCGGGAATTCACCCAGCGCTCTCTCGGCCCAGGTCACGGTGCTGTTTGCCGGGCAGAACATCGACAAGAGCCCCTTCGACGTCCACGTGGGCATGGCGCTGGGTGATGCCAACAAGGTGACGGCGCGGGGGCCCGGCCTGGAGCCCGTGGGCAACGTGGCCAACAAGCCCACCTACTTCGACATCTACACTGCAGGTAGGGGCGCGGGGCGGAGGACAGGGCCTGGGTGGGGCAGGGGAGCCCTGCTGGGGGCTGGCGCTCACTCTGCCTGTCTGTGCCAGGCGCGGGCACGGGCGATGTGGGCGTGGTCATCGTGGACCCGCAGGGCCGTCGCGACACCGTGGAGGTGGTGCTGGAGGACAAAGGCGACAGCACCTTCCGCTGTACCTACCGGCCCGTGCTGGAGGGACCCCACACCATCTGCGTCACCTTCGCTGGCACCCAGATCCCCCGGAGCCCCTTTGCCGTCAACGTCTCCGAAGGTGAGAGCCTGCTCCGTGCCCCTGGTTGGCACCCACTCTCTGTGCAAGCCCAGCAGCCCACCCCACGCCCCCTGGCTGGTGCCCACCCTCTGTGCCAGCCCCATACCCCCTCCCACAGTGCCCACCCTTTGTGCCAGCCCTGCAGCCCCCCCATGACACCTGGCCAGTGCTGGCCTCCATGCCAGCCCCCAGCCCATCCCACACCCCCCTGGCTGGTGCCCGCCCTCCGTGCCAACCCTACAGCCTGCCGGGGGACGCTGGCTGACCCCTCCCCGACCAGCCGGTGGGGCTGGGGCCGGGGCACGGAGGGGATCCCGTTCAGAGAGCGGGGTGGTAGGGCAGCCTCTGCCCCTGCTGGGTGCTCCGCACAGCCTCTGTCCCTGTGCTGTAGCCTCGGGGCAGGGGGGCTCTTCACCTCCCCCCACCCCCCCACCCTGTGGCGGTGCTGACCCCCCCGGCCGGCAGGAGGCACCTGTCCCTGCTCCGCAGCGCCCAGGGCTGCTCTGTGACCCGGAAGCCCCGACCGACCTCCCCATCCCGCCAGCTCCAGCCCCACGGCGCAAACAGGAATCCCTGACTCACCGCGGCTTCCTCCAGCTGCCCGGCCGCCCTGACACGGCTTCCCCCGCCCCATTCACACTCCACCCTGCCCGGGGGGGTGGGGAGCAAGGCCCCCGATGGTGCCCCCCAGGTCCTGGGCAGCCCAGCTCCAGCCCCGTGGGCCAGGAGGGTCCAACAGCTCGTGGCTGGTCGGATGCCCGCGCAGCAGGGGTTGTGGGGCCCAGCGCCTTCCCAGGAGGAGGGCAGTGAGCCGGGGGGGAGGTCTCTGGGACACTGGCAGGAGCAGGGGGAACGGTGCTGCCAGGCTGGGGTAAGCGGGGGGGGGCCCACGCCCGTGCCCTGCGCTGTGCCCCCCTGCCCCCAGTGCTCTACATATAACAGCCCCAGATATTCCTTAGCCTGCTGGGGGTGGGGTGGGAGGCTCCATTCGTCAGATGGGTAAACTGAGGCACAGGGCAAGCCGGGGTTAGGACTCCCTTGCTGCCTGCTGGGAGCAGCCACCTCTCCCATTGCTCAGTGCCCCTCATTGCGGCTAGCCCTGCCCCCCCATTCCTTCCCCCAGCTTGGTGCCCCTATTCCCCCCAGGCTGGGCCGGTCTGGGTCCATCTGCCCCCCAGTGAGACAGCCTCTTCTCCTTTGCAGGCCGGAGGGAGGGTCACTTTAATCCTCCTCCAGCCCCTGCTCTGGGCCCACGGGCTGCCCGGCCTGCGCACAGACCCCCGGGTGCCCTGGCTGCGTGGGGTCTAGGCCGCCCAGGCTGTGAGAGCTCCCGGGTGACACGGCCGGGTGCTGGCCCACCGCACACGCTGCGCAGTCCCAGGCCAGCAAGCCAGCCGGGCGGCCTGGGTGAGGGGCAGGAGGGTGGCAGCCAGGGGCACCTCCCCACTAAGCGCTCTCTTCTCTGTCCCCACAGCCTGCAGCCCCAACGCCTGCCGGGCCACGGGCCGGGGCCTCCAGCCCAAGGGCGTACGGGTCAAGGAGGTGGCCGATTTCAAGGTCTACACCAAGGGCGCGGGCAGTGGGAAGCTGAAGGTCGTGGTCAAGGGGCCGAGTGAGTGCCGGGCAGGAGGGGGAGCCGTGTGGGGCCCAGCCGGGAGGCGGGAGGAGAGGGCCAGTGCCCTGGAGTGTCACGGGAAAGACCCATCTCTCTCTGTCAGCCTGTCCTCGGCTGAAGCAGAGCAGTACCCGGGCCAGCGCACTGGGGAAACTGAGTCACGGGCTGAGTAGGGAGAGCGAGGTGGTGGTGGTGTGTGGGTGTCACTGCTGCCCCCTGCTGGACAGAGCATGTCACACTGGCTGGCTCTCTCTAGCTCCGTGACTCTGGAGCGGAAGGCGCCGGGTTCTGCCATGCAGGCGGCTGGCAACGGGCAGGAGTACTGCTGCGGGTACCGCCCAGGTGGGGCAGGGAGCTCCCCGGCCTGGCTCGGCTCTCACCACCTTGCCCCTCTCTCTGCAGAAGGCACGGAGGAGCCGGTGAAGGTGCGGGAGGTTGGCGAGGGGGTGTACGAATGTGACTACTACCCCGTGGTGCCTGGCAAATACGTGGTGGCCATCTCCTGGGGTGGCTACAGCATCCCCCGCAGGTAAGGGACCGGCCCACGCCCCTTGCCGGCCTGGCGCTTGGGGCTGGGGCCAAGACTGGAGCCCTGTCTGCACTAGTGCCGGAGTCTTGCACGCGCGTGTGAAGCGGGAGGAGGAGCTCGGAGCGCCCTGGTGGCACCACCTGCCCAGGGTCGTTCTGTGCTCTGGAGCCAGGGAGTGGCCTGAGCCCTGGCACGCTCGTTACACTAGTGGTGTCACGGTCGCAGAGCAGCAGCCTGGCCGCCCGGGGTCCCCTGGCTCTGACCCCCTGTCTTCTTCACAGCCCCTTCGAAGTGCAGGTGGCGCCGGAGCCTGGCACCCAGAAAGTCAGGGCCTGGGGCCCCGGCCTGGAGACTGGCATGGTGGGCAAATCAGCCGACTTCGTGGTGGAGGCGATTGGCACCGAAGTGGGGACACTGGGTAAGAGAGCGGGCAGGGGGCCCGGGGGGAGGGAGGGATCTGAGGGAGGGATCTATGGGGAGCGAGCGGCGGGGCCCAGGGGAGGGAGGGATCTGAGGGAGGGATCTATGGGGAGCGAGC